CTGGGGGCCCCCTCCAGCAGGGCTGGGGGGCAGGGGCTGTGGGTGGGGGACAAGAGGCACAAGCAGGGCTGGGGGCCTGTGGGTGGGGGAGTGAGGGACACCAGCAGGGCTGTGGGGGCACTTAATTTTAACCACAGATTTTGGGATTTTTATCAGAGAATTGGCAATTTTTTACCAAAGAATTTGTGATTTTTTTAATCATAGAAAACCAGGATTCCTGCTCATCAGACAGAGCATTAATCTGGGTCTGCCCAGCTCTGCTACTGGCTTGCTGCTTGTTCTTAGGGAAGTCTCCTTATCTTCCTGTGCCTCAATTTCCTGACCTGCAACTGGAGATTATGAAATTTGGCTCCATTATTACATTCTTTGTTATGTACCAATGAAACGAAGAGAAAGACACAGTACGACTCCTATATATCATTAACACATCAGAGAAGGATTCTCTCTCTCTCAGAAAAATAATAAAAACACACTAAGAAATTAACATGTGTTATATTTAAGTTTATCAGGGGTGACCACCAGCATCTGGGGGAACGTTTGTTCACCAGAGCGCCCCAAGGGATGACGAGGTCGAATGGTCACAAACTACTTCAAGATCGTTTCAGGCTGGACATAAGGAAGAATTTCTTTACTGTCCGAGCCCCCAAGGTCTGGAACAGCCTGCCACCGGAGGTGGTTCAAGCGCCTTCATTGAACACCTTCAAGATGAAACTGGATGCTTATCTTGCTGGGATCCTATGACCCCAGCTGACTTCCTGCCCTTTGGGCGGGGGGCTGGACTCGATGATCTTCCGAGGTCCCTTCCAGCCCTGATGTCTATGAAATCTATGAAATCTATGAAATTTCCATGATCCTTGTAAAACACAAAACCAAATTGGTTGTTAAATCCAAAGAGTAGCAGTGATGGCATTAAAGCTTATATTTCCTGACTCTCAGTCCTGCACTCAGTCTATTAAACTCATTCAGTTCAATTAGCAGTTCTTTAAATATAAGAAAAACATATAAAATATATTGGAAAATATATAAAATATATAAAATATAAGGAAAATATATAAAATATATTGTGGTAGTACTAGAAGGTATTTCAGCATGTTTAAGTCATGATTCCAAGAGATGTAACTACAAAGTTACTTAACATTACATCTCTTGGAATCATGACTTAAACATGCTGAAATACCTTCTAGTACTACCACAATTTATGTAAGTTCTATTCAGCTAAATTCTAAATACAGTAGCACCCAAATTTCCCATATCCAGGTGGTTTGCAACCCACTTAATTCACAGCATGTTGCTGTAAAAAGGATAATACATTCAGCTGTGTGTTGATACTTTTACTTTGAAGGGTGAGGCTTCTCCAGCCAGCTGGAGCTCTTCAACACTCCTGTGATTCAGTAAAGCTCCAGATTACTTAACTTTTCACAGATGGCTCCAGACTTTATGGACATGTGTTTTAACCTGACTTTTAACTGACTGTCTGAAAATTTATGGATACTTGGCAACACTATGGGGTGCGGAGTGTCAGAGAATGGAGAGGCTGGTAGTGGGAGATCACTTTTACCTGACATAGGGACTCAAAGTCCCCAGCTGCTGCAGTGATGTGGTCTCACCACCCTGAGCTGTTGTTGCTGCTGTAACAAAGGGGCAGCACCCTGTGCCTGTGGCTGCTTCTGAGGGTGCAGACTCACTGGGGGATTGCCATATAAGGGTCTCTGATGAGGAGGGGTGGGACTGCAATAGCACCAGCTAGCAGTCTGGCATGCCTGGTGCAAAGTGCCCACTCTCCACCATGGCTGGCAGGATGGAGTTGTGGAAAATGTGGGCATCATGGGCACTGCCGGCCCAGCCGGTGTTCATGTTGGTGAAGGTGCCACATTGGTCAATGATGGCCTTGAGTATGATGGAGTGAAAGCCCCACCAATTATAGTAGGGGTGGTTACTGTGGGTCAGGCAGGGGACAGGGATGTGGGTCCTGTCCAGGGTCCTGATGCACTGAGTGAAGCCCAGAGTGCAGAACTCTGCCACCGCCTCCACCCAGAGCACAGTGTGCCCCAGCACATCCTGGAGGGCACCCCAGACCTCCAGGATAGCCTTCCCAGCAGTTGTCTTGCCCATGCTGAAGAGGCAGCCAACATAGTGCAGACTGGTGGGTATGGCCATCTTGAGCAGGGCAATGGCTAGCTGTGTGTCCATGGGGAGGGGCCATCACATGGTAGTGCCCTGTTGCTCCAGATGCGGTCAGAGTTTGTTGAAGAGCTCCTGGAAGGTGTCCCAAGTCATGCAAAAAGACTCCAGCCACTGCTTTTCATCCCAGGTGTGCTGGGCAACAGGCAGCCACCAGTCCTGGCTGGCCCAGCAAGCCCACAGGCGGTGGGGCTGGAACCCCAGGAGCTCATGAATGGGACCAGCGGCAGCATCCCTGCTGGGGTCTGGGCAGCAGCAGCGCAGTGGCGGGGGCACTGAGACACCGTGTGAGCCTGGGCAGGCCATTACACTGCATGGTGGGGGACGGGGCAACCAGGGCCAAGACTGACCCATGCCAGTTGGCAGTCACTGCAGCAGTGAAGCAGGACAAGCGGTGTGTTGAGCAGGAGCCTTGTGTGCTGGATGTTGCTTCTGGGGCCTGGGGGTGGAGCAGCTATCATGCAGTGGGCACCTGATCTGGTGAGAGAGATGCAGAGCACTGTGCCAGCATGCTGCAGGCTGCTCTGGATTGGAATGCAGCTGGCCAAGGAGTAGCCGGGGGTTGGGGGGTGGAGGGCGGGGGGCTTTTAAAGATGGCCCCCAGCTGCAGACAGCTATGGCCTGAGTCTCTAGCTCCCCCTGACTGTTGGAAGGGGCCAGTGCAGGCCTGGAGGGGGTGGGGAGCAGGCTAGTGCCAAGAGAAGCAAATCTGCTCCCAAATTCATAGATTCATAGATGTTAGGGTCGGAAGGGACCTCAATAGATCATCGAGTCCGACCCCCTGCATAGGCAGGAAAGAGGGCTGGGCTCAGATGACCCCAGCCAGATGCCTATCCAACCTCCTCTTGAAGACCCCCAGGGTAGGGGAGAGCACCACCTCCCTTGGGAGCCCATTCCAGATTTTGGCCACTCGAACTGTGAAGAATTTCAGTCTAAATCTGCTCGCTGCTAGCTTATGGCCATTATTTCTTGTGACCCCCAGGGGCACCTTGGTGAGTAAAGCCTCACCAATTCCCTTCTGCGCTCCCATGATGAATTTATAGGCAGCCACAAGGTCGCCTCTCAACCTTCTCTTGCGGAGGCTGAAGAGGTCTAGATACCCCAGTCTCTCCTCGTAGGGCTTGGCCTGCAAGCCCTTAACCATACAAGTGGCCCTTCTCTGGACCCTCTCCAGGTTATCCACATCCCTCTTGAAGTGTGGTACCCAAAATTGGACATAGTATTCCAACTGCAGTCTGACCAGTGCCCGATAGAGGGGAAATATCACCTCCTTGGTTCTGTTTGTCACGCATCTGCTGATGCATGATAAAGTGCCGTTAGCTTTTCTGATGACTTTGTCACAGTGATGACTCATGTTCATCTTGGAGTCCACTAGGACTCCAAGATCCCTTTCCGCTTCCGTGCTACTGAGCAGGTCATTTCCTAGGCAGTAGGTATGCTGGACATTTTTCCTCCCTAGGTGCAGCACGTTGCATTTCTCCTTGTTGAACTGCATTCTGTTGTTTTCTGCCCATTTGTACAACCTGTCCAGGTCTGCCTGTAGTTGTTCCCTGCCCTCTGGTGTGTCCACTTCTCCCCACAGTTTTGTATCATCCGCAAACTTGGACAGAGTACCCTTCACTGCCTCATCCAAGTCACTGATGAAGACATTGAAGAGTACCGGTCCAAGGACTGAGCCCTGCAGGACCCCACTGCCCACGCCCTTCCAGGTTGATACCGACCCATCCACTATGACTCTCTGGGTACAACCATCTAGCCAATTTGCCACCCACCAGACTGTGTAATCATCCAAGTCACAGCCTCTTAACTTGTTC